GGGTGTGTGTGTGTGTGTGTGTGTGTGTGTGTGTGTGTCCACAGGCAGAAGCTGGGAGGACGGGATGTATTCTTAGGGTACGAGGCTCTAATAAAACCTTGTGACCAGGTAACTGCCCGCCCTGCCCTTGGGAAAGTCCCTCAAACTGGTAAAATATGGGAGAAGCAGACAGCTGGGCCTTCCAGGTTGGACACAATTCTGAAACCACTGCCTAGTTAACTAAAGTCGAAGGGTTCTGCAGAAGTACCCGCTTCCTGCTAAACATACCCGGAACTGAGGTCCATCTCTGTGGGGGTGGAGATTGTCATCAACATATGCACAAAAGGAAACGTATGATAGGAGAGCGTAGCAGCACCAGCTCACTGTGGAGGTACGAGGCAAGTGTGTCTTGTTACTTCCGCAGTTAAACTACTCTGCCTGGGGCTCCAGTGAGGGCCAGACGGACCCAGAGGCCGTAGTCTAGCCACGTCCGCTTTGGGATCTCCCATAAAACTTGGGAGGACCTTCCGTCCACAGGCTAACCTGACCCTCACCATTGCAGTCAGGAATCTCCAAGGACCCGCCAGATACTTCTGAGAGTCAAGAATATAAACTAAACGGAGAGCTTACACTGCCTTCCAATAACTGCCAGCCGGCCCACCATGACCCTGGCTGGGGACCGTGACTTTGGAGCTCCCTGAGCAGGTAAAGGAATACTAAAGACCCAAAAGAGGGAGTGTAGCAGTTTCTGTAAGGCATTTTTAGAACAACCTACCCATCACGCCCTCGTGTGTACATTCAAAAATCGTGTGTAAAACAAGCGAATCATTCAACAATAGTCAATAATCAAAGACTACGATGAATATTATGGAGACATAAGGTGAACGTAACCCACATACAGAGGAAGGCTCATCCGTGAATACATTAGCGACTATTGGTCAGCGCACGTGTTCCGGATCAAAACCTGGAAAAGAGATCAGTGTCAGCCACATTCCAGGCTCTAGGCAGGCACCTACGCTCCCGGGGAACCTGTTTGTTACCCACTGCAGCCGCTCTACACCCTGGGGCTCACGCTCGCCAGGCCTGGGCTTAGGTTGTCGCCGGCTCTCCACGATCACACGCAGCCGGCTGAGGCAGGCATGCCGCAGGTTCGCCACCCCTGGTTGAGGCATCTCTCTGGGGGCTTCTTCTGGCTGCTTACCTTGTGGAAGAAACTACGCCTTGCCAGGGCTCAGCCATTTGCTGCAACTCACAAAACTTGCAACTGAAAATCCAAGGTGGGAGGACGCGAGTGGAGTGGTACCGTGCGCCTGGCTCCTGTGGCGGGCATTTGCTGGCTGCCTGACTCCGTGGGCCGCGCCCACCCAGCGCTCCGCAGCAGGTTGTTCCTTCGTGGCTCCAGAGGCGCCCAGGGCCCTGCTCTGCTCCAAAGCATTGGCCCAGTCAGACACTGAGCCAGCTCGGCTGGACTTGAGCTGGTGCCGCTGCTGTGAAACACCGAGACCAGAGCCCAGCACGTGTCTGGGTCCTGGGCCTGGCAGAGATCCGAGCTGCAGGGCCCTTCAGGGTGAAGCCAGTTTGAGCCACTTGCAGAGAGGGTTGGGACCGAAGACGGTTTTTTTCTTCCACAACGACACAGTGGCTCCAAGGCAGGGCTTGGTGCAGCCAGCACAGGTGAGATTTCTCCCAGCCCTGGGCACTGAATTTGCACGTCCACTCCCCACTGCCTGCCTTGTTAGGAGCACTGTGGCCGCTGGGTGCCTGAGGGCATCTCAGAGTGCGCCACCTGATCCACCCCACATCCCACACTGGTCCGCAGGGTCACGGGATCTTCTGAGCAACCTGACAAGACACAGGTCAGCTTTTACCCCTCCCAAATGCAGTGACATTCTACTCTTTGTCCAACTGTAGGCAGGTTGCAGATGCCCTACTGCCATTGTTCTTTCCTTTTTGTTTGGTTTTTGGTTTTTTGAGACAGGGTCTCACTATGTAGTTGAGACTGACCTGGAACTCACTATGTAGCCCAGGCTGGTCTCGAACTCACAGTGATCCTCCTGCCTCAGCCTCCTGAGTGCTGGGATTACAGTGCATGCATCATCATGCTCTGTTTTTGTACCAGGGACAGAACTCAGGACCCCTAGCTTACCAGGCGGGCGCTGTTCCACTGAGCCACATCCCCGGCCTCCGCTCTTTCTTTTTTAATCTGGCCTCATACCCACATGGTGCTGTTTTCGAAAATAAAGGCGATTGCTTTCACATGTAAGGCAACATGACCCCAGGCAGTGCTGAGTGTAACTCAAATGTTAACACTCCTGGTCAACTTCAGACAGTGTAAAGTCTGACTTCCGCAGCCCCGGCATGGGGCCCTGAGTCCTGCATTTCTAACAGGTTTCCTGAGTCACACTTGGGAGTAAAGGTGAAGGGAACAGGCAGGGGTTTTAGAATCAGAGACCTGGGCTCAGTTCCTGGATTGGTCCCTTACTGTTATGTGACCCTGGCAAGTCACTTAACCACGGTAGAGCAGCTTTCACGAGCTTATCTGCAAAATCAAAATTATAATACCTACCTTGAAGAGCTAAGCCTTACAGACCAAATGTGATAATATCCACAAATCACCAGACAATATTTTTTTCTTTTGAGACAGGGTCTTGCTGTGTAGTCCAGGCTGGTCCTGAACTCACTATGTAGCCCAGGCTGGCCTTGAGTTCATAGTGATCCTCCTGCCTCAGCCTCCTGAGCTGGGCTTAGAGGTGTGCGCCACCATGCACAGCACCAGGCAATGAATAAAAGCTGGTTCTCTTTCCTTTTGCTCAGGGCTCTCAACCTTGGCACGCTGGCATTCCCACGGTAGGGGGCCCCCTGTGCACTGTGGGCAGTTAGCAGTGACCCTGGCCACTACCCCCTGGAGGCCAGCAGCTCCCCTCCACTAGTGACACCAAAAGTGACTCCAGAAAAGGCGCAGTGTCCGGCAGGTTCCCTGCTGGAGAATACTGGCCCCGGACCCGCATGTTAACTGCCAGGGGTTCGGAGTCTGCTCCAAGCGCAACTCCCTCAGTTATCTTTCCTGACCTGTTCTTGGTTCCTATTTGGTTTCAGAAATCTTCAAAATGGGAAAAATACGTGGCGCAGGAATAGGATAACAATTTTAAGCACTCAAGGAGTATTCTCACTTCAAAGTTCCTTCCCTAGGGAGCCGCACAACATGAAGCTGCAGGTGATGTCTGAGTTCGCTGTCTCTGTCGTTCCTAACCTGCATCTTGGTCTTTAAAGTGACTGGGTTAGGATTCTCTTTTATAGCTGACCGGTCCTTGAAAACCAACTCATCCAAGGCATGGAGAGGTCTACAAAATTGACAGGGAGCCCTTCACTAATACAGTGGGCCCTTGACTCCCGAACTCAGTTTGTTCTCCAGTCAACTGAAGGCTCGGGCTCCTCTGCACAGCCTTCAGTCTCTCCTGTACACAGGCGGATCTTGGTGTGCTCAGAGACGCCGGCCCAGGGTCTCTCAGTGAGCCCCACGCAGGAAGGAATGCTGTCATGTTCCTTCCAGAGCTCTTTAGGGTTCAATCTGTATCTGAGACCATGCGGAAGCACAAGCGGCCAGCATCTGAGTCGTAACTCAAGGCTTTGGTCGTAAGTTAAAACTCAACTTCCAGTCATGACCCGAGTTGTTTGCACGTCAGGCCAGTCGTAACTCGAGGGTCCACTGTAACTTTAGCCCTAGGTTCTCGGATCTGCAGTCTTCCCTCCTGGCTCACCCTGAGGACACCCACTCCTCCTCCTGTCTAAAGCCTGCGGCAACACGGTGGAAATTCTGAGATTGGGTCTCTTCCCACAGCACCTCTTGGAGGATCCTGCTCGTCCAGCTGCACGAGGTCTCCAGGGCCCACAGATACCGATGTTCTATGAATGAACTGGCCAGGCGGGCCACTGGGCGGGCAGGAAGGGCTGTGCGTTCCCCCGGTGGGCAGAGGAAGCAGGGACGTGGCTGTCCACAGAGTGGAGACCAGAGCACTGACCAGGTCAGCGGGGAGGGGTCTCTGGACTTGGCTGAGGGAGGTGCTGGGTGCCGAAGTCCCTCTTCTAAAGCTCAGAGTGGAGCACACGTAAGGCAGAAAGAGTGCCCGGGGTTTTCAAAGGAACCCAGTGCACCCTCTCTCTTGGCCCAGAGGATGTCTCAGGTCTTTTAGACCTATTTTCATCCTGGGGCATCCAGCAACACCACTGCTTTTAAGTCTTCCTCCTGATTATGGAAATCTTTCCCGCAAATTGTTCCTTTTGTGTTGTCATTTGACATTGAGGGACATCAACCATTTGAAGATCAGAGTTGAAAAGCAATCCAAGTTAGGCCTGAAAGAGAAACAAACATACTCATTTCAGGACTGCAGGTGGCGCTCTCGGGTCTCCTGCGAGAGGCTGGGACAACTGGGAAGTGGACACTGGCCTCGCTTCTCCCCCGCCTCCAGGGTCCTCCAGCCAGCTGTGGTCCCTTCTGCCGCAGGCGAATTTGGAAATGACGCAGGATGACTCGCTGATGGTGCGAAAGGAGGGCAAGTCCAGGAGAGGAGGCCACCGTATGAAGGGGCAGAGTGAGCCAAGCGGGACTCGGGACGGCGGCCGGAGCCAGAATGAAAACAGGCCTAAAGCCGAGGTGGGCAGGAGAAACAAATCTAGGCAGCCGAAGGTCCAAGGCCAAGACTGGCTGGCGGCTGAGAGGAAGCCTCATTCTAGGAAACTGGAGGAATCGGGCCGTTGTTTTATATTGTGCATCCTGCAGGCTTTTAGGACATGCCCTTCACCTACACGTGCCGGATCTAAGTCCCCTGGGCTAACGGAAGACACCCCTCTGAGGGCAGGAAGGGTGAGCGACATGTCCAGAACCAGGCAGGTGGCAAGCAGAGAGCCGTGATGGTAACGCCGGTCCACCAAACCCTGGGACACGTGTGTTGTGATGCCGCCATCGTGCAGTGGCCGTGACAACAGCAGCAGTCCGTGGGCAGACAGCTCTCCCGTAAGCAGTGTTAAATAAATAGGTGGCGATTTAGAAATAAAATTAAGCCACCATTTTATACCATCTTACAAAAAAAAATTGAAAAGATGACGTAATAAACACCACATGTGTTTTATTAATAGACTTCTTGCCTGTTGTGTGGGGGCCATGGATAGATTATTGCTCCTTGCGAAAACCTACGGTCTCCCATTTCCATGAGAAATGGTTTGTTTTTGTTTTTGTTTTGTTTTGTTTTGTTTTGTTGAGAGAAGTTCTCACTGTGCAGCCCCAGCTGTCCTTACACTCACAGCAATCCTCCTGCCTCAGCCTCTTGAATGGCATGTGTCACCACACCCAGCCAGCTAGAGGTCACTGTGGCTTTTTCACTACCACGTCTCCAACACAGGGAAGCTGACAGGCGCAGAGAGGGTACAAGGGAAATGGGAAATAATTGCTGAATGACAGAATTTAAAATATTTCTTAAATAAGAACATAAACATCCAACCTGAAGAGAACTACTAAAACTTACAAGCTTGTCAAAGAAATCATAAAATAAAAGATGAGAGCTGGGGATTTAGGCACTGCACCTGCCTCACAAGTTCTAGGTCCTGAGCTTGATCCCTGCTGCCAAAAAAAAAAAAAATGATGAACAGATATAATTGCATTTTTAAAAATATTAAAATGCAAATGATGGGCCAGGGATTGGGCTCAGTGGTTCTGCCACCTGCCTCACAAGTTCAGGGACCCAAGTTCGATCCCCACTACTAAAAAAAAAAAAAAATGATGAACAGAAACAATTGCATATTTAAAAATATTAAAATGCAAATGATGGGCCAGGGATTGGGCTCAGTGGTTCTGCCACCTGCCTCACAAGTTCAGGGACCCAAGTTCGATCCCCACTACTAAAAAAAAAAAAAAATGATGAACAGAAACAATTGCATATTTAAAAATATTAAAATGCAAATGATGGGCCAGGGATTGGGCTCAGTGGTTCTGCCACCTGCCTCACAAGTTCAGGGACCCAAGTTCGATCCCCACTACTAAAAAAAAAAAAAAATGATGAACAGAAACAATTGCATATTTAAAAATATTAAAATGCAAATGATGGGCCAGGGATTGGGCTCAGTGGTTCTGCCACCTGCCTCACAAGTTCAGGGACCCAAGTTCGATCCCCACTACTAAAAAAAAAAAAAAATGATGAACAGAAACAATTGCATATTTAAAAATATTAAAATGCAAATGATGGGCCAGGGATTGGGCTCAGTGGTTCTGCCACCTGCCTCACAAGTTCAGGGACCCAAGTTCGATCCCCACTACTAAAAAAAAAAAAAAATGATGAACAGAAACAATTGCATATTTAAAAATATTAAAATGCAAATGATGGGCCAGGGATTGGGCTCAGTGGTTCTGCCACCTGCCTCACAAGTTCAGGGACCCAAGTTCGATCCCCACTACTAAAAAAAAAAAAAAATGATGAACAGAAACAATTGCATATTTAAAAATATTAAAATGCAAATGATGGGCCAGGGATTGGGCTCAGTGGTTCTGCCACCTGCCTCACAAGTTCAGGGACCCAAGTTCGATCCCCACTACTAAAAAAAAAAAAAAATGATGAACAGAAACAATTGCATATTTAAAAATATTAAAATGCAAATGATGGGCCAGGGATTGGGCTCAGTGGTTCTGCCACCTGCCTCACAAGTTCAGGGACCCAAGTTCGATCCCCACTACTAAAAAAAAAAAAAAAAGAATTATAGCTGGGCATGGTGGCGCCACACACCTGTAATCCCAGCACTCATGAAGCTGAGGCAGGAGGATTGCTGTGAGTTCGAGACCAGCCTGGGCTACATAGTGCGTTTCAGGTCAGTCTCAACTACATAGTGAGACCCCGTCTCAAAAAACAAACAAACAAACAAAAAAAAAACCCATAAAAATAAAAAATAAAAGGCAAATGGTCTGCCTTCGGTTCTAGGCCAGCCTGGGCTACACAGTGAGTTCAAGGTTAGCCTGAGCCATATAGCAGACCTTGTTTCTAAAAAAGAAAATGGTAAACTGCAAAAAATACTTGCCACAAAAAAAGTATCATTATCTTGAAAACAATAGTAACATCTTAGTAGATACAGATCAGCAAAAGACGCAAATAGACAAAAAAGAAAAATATAAGAATACATAAAAACTCAACTTTTCTAGAATACAAAAAAAAATCCAAAATAAGCAATGATATAAATTTAATTGTGGCTAAATATTGGTGAAACATATATGTATCTATGGAATGGAAAATTGGCAATTTTGGAAAGCTACTTGGCAATATATTTCAAAATATATTAATATATATATATTAAAACACACACACATATGGTGATACTGGCAATTGAACCTTGAACCGAGCACCTTCATACCAAGCTGCACCTCTATCCCTTTCTTTAAATTATGAGACAGGGGGCCGGGGATTTAGCTCAGCGGTTCGGTGGCCTGCCTCGCAAGCGCAAGGACCCAAGTTCGATCCCCGGTACCAAAAAATAAAAAAAATAAATAAAATAAATAAAAAAATTATGAGACAGGGCCTCACTAAGCTGCTAAATTGCCCAGGCTGGGCTTAAACTTGGGATTGTCCTGCCTCAGCCTCGAAGAGCTCTGGGATTGCAGGTGTGGGCCACCAAGCCCAGCTGCGCCTACAGTCTTTGACTCAGTGATTCTACTCCGCCGTGAGAATCCCTCCCAAGGAACTACTCTGAGTGGAGAAAAACTAGACAGTAAGATGCCATTTCTCTAGTATAGAAAAAGCAAGCAAACTAGTGGACTTTGCTAAAAAAAAAAATGAGGAGTAAAGGGCCAGGGATAGTGGTTCCGCCACCTGCCTCACAAGCATAAGGTCCTGAGTTCCAGCCCGGTACCAAAACAGAAATGAGGAGTAAAGTGTCACTGCTCATACAAGTAGTCAGTCCATTTACTAAAATACAGTTCTGCATTCCTGCTTCAGTCAGGGTGGATTAACAGGTCCTGGACTTCCCCGCCACCTGCTGAAAGTTAGAAAAGTGGGCACAGCGGATGAAGGGCTGGCTTCAGGCACCGGGCCGGGACAGTACCCAGAACCATCCCTGGCAAACGGGAATCTCGTTGCCGGGGATGCAGAAACCCAAAAGACTGCCCCAACCACCCTAGTATGGACAAAAGTCAGAAAAGCCATCAAATCACAATGTCCTTGAGCTGGTTGAAGAGCTGAGGTCCCAAAGCAAACAGGTAGGGTGGATTCAGAAGGTGGCCACGAGCCTTCGAGGAGAGGAGGCCTGCACACCCTGGCACCCTCATCGTATTTCCTCAGACCGGCCTCCCACCTGTGATCCCCCTGCCCTAGTCTCCCCAGAAGTAGCTGTGATCACAGATGTTTGCACTGTGACAGTCTGGATAGATAAGTTTTAATTGATCTGTTTTTCAAAGGCACACTCTAGCAAGTTGTCCTTAATCAATAGAAAGTAATCTATAAACTACAACACTCTAAATTTATGAAAGTTTGAAAATTTCTGATTGCAGGTAAGAGAGTCAAAAAACAAAAACCACACACCCTGGGATTTAATTAGCAGATTCAAGTAACATTGTATACATCCAAAATCAATTCCCAAGCAGGGTAAATGAGGTCGGAACTAATGGCGGAGAGGGCTGATAACTCAAAATTGCAGTTAAAATAAGTCAAAGCAAAGATATAATGTTAAAGTTATAATCAGTATCGGAGACACATTTATTTCTTCTAGCCCCAAAGCACACAAGTCCCGTGGTCTGGCAACACTGAGCGTCATACAGACAGCTTGAGGAAAAACCAAAATGTTAGTATGAGAAAGCCATCGTGGTTACTTGTCATCTTCGCTGATTTGGAGAAACAATGGGACCAAGGACTTCTAGGATCGATGTGAAACCAAGCTCTGTCCTGCCAGGATTACCTCACACAGCAAAGGCCACCAGGATTTGAGGGGACAAAACTCCAGAGGGGGAAGGGTGGAGCAGCGAGCCCTCTACTGTCCCTTGCTCTTCCTCTCACAGCATTTGCTCATTCTTATGCTACCCAAAACCAGTATTTTTAGCTGGACCAGGCTCTGATTTCACAGTGCTAGAACTAGAAAGACAAAAACTGCAGTCCCAGGCTCCCCAGAAGGGAGGAAGAGGCCAGGAAAATACCGTAAGCTTCCTGTTAGATTTCCTGGATGTTCAGTCTTGGTTAAGAAAGTCTCTCCCACCCGACCATACATATTTTTAAAAATTGGAATTTTTGGGGGGTTTGGTTTTGTTTTCTTTGTACCAGGGATCGAACTCAGGACTTTGCACTTACAAGGCAGGCGGCAGTACCACTGAGCTAAATCCCAGCCCTGGAATTTATTTTTATATGGTACAAAATAGGAGTTCAATTTCATTTTGCTCAATATGGATAACTAGTCGAGGCTGGCAGCATTTAGCAAATAAGCTCTTCCAGCCCAAACTGAAACATCACTTTCACTCTGTTACACTGAAACGACGTATCTTTGAACTCTCTTGTTGTACTCACCTGCCAATCATTCGACCACTCCCCAAACTCCCATCCCTTTTGATGCGCTGCAACTGAATGCTTCATCTTCGTTTTGTGATCCTGAGCCCACCTCCCTGGGGAAGACGGAAACCATCATGTCAAACTTTTCCTAGTTTCTCCCCAAAACCCAGTGTGGTGGCAGCGGCTCCCAAACGGACCCCAGCGAGTTCCACTGTACCCCAATTCCTATGGCTTTCCTTGCGTTGGCACTATGTGCTTTTTTTGGTTTATTCCTACACATCTTACAGGGTTTGCCTCTGAGTGAAACTGAAAATTTTACATTGCTGTGTGTTATTTTGCAAGACTAGAGGAAGACAACTGATTTTTGTAGATTTAAGGATTTGTTTGTTTGTTTTGGGCAGTACTGGGGATTGAACCCAGGAAGCATTGAGTGACATCCCCAGCCCTATTTATTTGTTTAATTTTGAGATGTGGGTCTCGCTAGGCTGGGCTTCATCTCTGCTGATTTCCCCAGTAGCTGGGATCACAGGCATGCACTACCCTGCCCAGATTTATAGATTGATCTTAAATTCAGTGATTTGCCAGATTCTCCTATTCATTCTGTATACTTTTCTAGAGTCTCTTGGATTTCTGGGATATGTAATCATGTCACCAGAAAGGTGGATTTTGTTTTTTTTTTAATCCATGGAAGAGTAAGTTTTTTTTTTGTTTGTTTTTTTTTTTTTGTACTGGGGATTGAACTTGGGTCCTTGTGCTTGCAAGGCAGGCCACCGAAACGCTGAGCTAAATCCCCAGCCCTAGAATAAGATCTTTTTTTCCATTAAGTTTTTGGTACATTTTAGGTATACAATAGTTACATTCATCATGAGGATCTTGCACCTTTACATGATGTATCTTGGTTCTTATTTTTCCCCATTCCCCTGCCCTCCCTTCACCCCCTCCACCCTTCCCTGTTTACAAAGACTTTGTTTTCATTTTTTCCTCTTCTCATAACTTTCCTTTTCCCTTCTTTCCTTTCCCCTACCCTTCCCACTTCCCCTACTCCTTTAGCCCTTTTCTTCCTATTTCACATTATCAGTTATACAATTTGAGCCTTATTTACACTTTTAGTCTTTCACACCTTTCAAACTAAAGGATTTTGACTTTTCTAGAATGTATGCTAATTGCTTTTCTTACTGTTAGAGCCCCTAAGGCCAGTCTGCTTCCTGATTCTTCCTGAGACGATTTTAGGTTCTCATCTGGAAGGGCAGTTGCTGTTATTTTTTCTCAGCTGAGGTTTGATTCATATATTTTTAAATTCACCCTTGTCACATATACAGTTCGATGAGTTTAACAACAATCAACCTCAAGCTCAAGAGTATTTTCAACGGCTCCAAAATCTCCCTGGCACAACTCCTCTGCAAGTAACTCTTTTGCATCTTTACTTCAGTTTAAATAAAACATTCACACTGGAGGTGCAACTCCACCATTATTACTGGCTCAGCGTCTTTAAGAACAGAGACCACATCTACTGCGTGCTGCTGGTCTTGGTATTTCCAGCCCCCAGCACCACACATGGGGTGTACCAGGGCCTTGACATTTGCTGGATAGTGAGCAAAGGAGCCAATCGACCAAGCAATTCTCAGGGCTCACCGCATTCCTCCGTGCTCCCTGAGGCGTTCCTGCCTCTGTGTTCCTGGTCTGTGTGGTCCTTTCCCGCTACATCTCCCTAGCAAAACAAATTTATGACCCTGACCGCATGTCTGCCTGTCTGATTTTTCCTTCCAAGTTTAACTGAAGGGAAGGCGCCACCTGGCTCAAGCAGCACAGCAGCAAGGTACCATTTCCAGAAGGGGCCCTGAGGACATGGAGCCAAGGACTAAAACTAGGCAGCAAGAAAATCGGATCCCAAGGTAGGAAGCTTACTAACCATCTGGACTCTGTTCCTGGGAAAACAGTGACAGATCAAAAGTTCGAAGAGGTGACGAGAACACAGGGACGAAAGCACAAGAGTAGGAACCTGATAAGCGGCCCACTTTTAAAGAGTGCTCTGCCACGGATCTTGTCTTACTAAGGGGCAGAGCCGAATCAGACAGTGGCCAGCCATCTTCGCCAGCCCGGCTTTTGGGTTCCCACCGTCATCTGCAGGTCTATTTTAGAGGGCAAGTCTCACTCTCGGTTCCCTCCAGGTGCAGGACAAACCACCAAGCCTGACCAGCAAGATGGCATTCGCACTTTCAGAACAGCCTGCTTATGTTTTTAATCAAGAAACGGTGAAAAAGTGGAGATGTCAAATGCAGAAAAGTGAAGGAACTCATCTTTCTCAAAAAAATAGTCAAAATAAAGGTGTCATTGAGATTTCTAAATGTAATTAGCACCCTAATATACCCTATTTTTTAATGCAAGCACGGAAGCATAAAACTTGCTTTGTCAGTTTGCTTACTAATAACAGATGAAGGTAAATCGGGCAGATCTAAATAAGGCACCCCACAATATGTAAACACCGACCACAGAATCAAGATCAGGCAAACAAATAGGGGAAGTTGTAAAAGACTGAAAAGCTTATCTTCACGAATTCTGATGATTATCTCAAAGCAAAGGCAAAAGTCCGTTTTGCTGGAGAAAGCAGTAACAGACGGTGTGGTGTGCATGTCAGAGACCTGTGTGTAGGGGGAGTTCCGGAAAACTTGTCACAGGCGCAAGCTAGGGTGAAGGGCTGCCCCCTTCACAGGAAAGACACCTGCTGGGCCAGGCGCCTTGCCTAAGGCCCGCAGCGCATTTCTATTAAGTTACAAAGCTGCTATCCGATCTCATTTACAGCACCCGGGTTTAGCTCTGAAACATCCACAGGTGCGTCCTTCCGAGTCCGTGCTAGGCCTCACTTGACGGCCGCTCCCCGCCCGATTCACGGCGGCTCCAGGGCCGCCAAGCGCCCCTCTTTGTGCTTTACAGGAGTCGAAGGCATCAAATTTGTTCGCGATCTGCGTCGGGGATGGGAACCCCACCAGTTCCTCCTGCAGACCGAATCAGTGGGGTTCCGGCCGGGGAATACGCAGAGGCGAAGGGTCCAGGAGGCCCGAGGGACGCCCGAGAAGCCAGATTCGGAAAAGCACGTCCGGACCAGAGGCCCAGACTCGGAACGGCCGGCGTCCAGCACACGGGGGCCTGGCTGAGGCGCGGAGGCTTTCTAGACCCACTCCTGAAAGCTGTGCAGACCGGGGGATGCAGGAATAAGCACAGATCTCCACTGCAATCAGAACAAAGTGTAAACCTTAAAACATGCGCTGAGTTTCCCAAACACGCTGGAAAACTTGCAAGATCCAAACAGCGCAACTGACTCAGCACCAGAGACTACGGCTCCCAGCGTTCAATACGGCGCTCGCCTCCTGCGTTGCATGCCGGGAACTGTAGTGTCTCAACCCCCCCCCAAAGCGCTAGGAGGGAGTCTCAAACCCCCAAGTCTTTCTTATTTTCAGAGATACACCACCAAATAGAAGGACGACTGCAAACTTCGCTTTGGAATGGTGCTCAATGTGACCCCAGGTACAGGTAAGGAAAATGGAGAAACTGCGTTGCCATGGCTACTGTTTCCCGTGGTCACGGAATAAACGCTCTCTAGGATCCGGAAGTGGTTCCGCAGCGACCTCTATCACAGGATGGACGTGCTGCGCGCTTACGTTTATTGGACGGCTTCCCTTAGGGGCCAAGACTTTCAAGGCAAATGGGCGGTCTCGTTTGTGAGGGGCCCGCGGAGCCATGTGATTGGGTAAAAGGTGTTTCACGAGACCAATCGGAAGGAGCCACGCTTCGGGCTTCGGCTACCGCACCTGGACAGCTCCGATTGGTGGACTGCAGTCCCCACCTCGCATTCCCATTGGGTACAGAGGGTGCGTGGTGCGGCGCGATTGGTGGGTTCGTGTTTCCCGTCCCCCGCCCGGGATAAGTGGGGGTGAAAAGCGGCCGGAGCTGCTTGGGGTGTAGTGGGCGGACCGCGCTGTTGGAGGTGTGAGGATCTGAGCCCGGGGTGGGGGGGCGGAGGCGGCTCCTGCGATCAAAAGGGACGAGAGGCTCACCTGCCGTGCGCCATGAGGGCCCTGTGGGTGCTGGGCCTGTGCTGCGTCCTGCTGACCTTCGGTGAGTGATCCGCGGGGATCTGCCGCCCTCCTCCGGCGCGGCCGCTTCTCGAAGGTTCTGGGGGCGTTGATCCCGGGAGGGGGCTACCCGAGCCCGCTGGGGGCCGGGGCACATCAACTTTCCTCGAAAGAGCCTCGGGTTGCCTCGCTCCCTCCTGCGTCCGAAGGCGGGGGGCTGCGGTCATTTAAACGCTTAGATCGCGGTCGCGGGTGGGTCCTCTCGCGGCACCGTTGTCGGCCGCCGCGACCTTTGACACTGGGGACCCCGGCTGCCCCG